AACTTTACCCACCTGGAACAGATGGTCGAAAGTCCTGTGTGATGAAGCGTCAGCTTCTGTTAAACATGTTGGGTGAAGCTTCGAACAAGGTCGTCCAGTCGATTCTCTAACTCATATAAGATGAGGAGAGTTAAAGTGATCGCGGAGCCTGACGGTGTCAACACCGCCATCCCGAGTAAACAATCTGCATGTGGCAAAAAGTAAATACAGTGCCAAAAAAAAGTGCAATACAATAGTATCTTGACATTGGAATTAATATTTTCAACTATATATTTTTTTTATTAGCTTTTTTTCTAAAAGGAGCTTTCTGGAAACTTTTTTCCTTAAAACATTTCATATCGTTGAAAGTGTCTACATCTCGAACACTGAGGGTCCGTGATAGATTCCCGGCACGGGTGAAACGTTGGGCATGTTTCCTTGTACCTGCTGCCCCCGCTCACCTTAGCAGTTAGTAGGACACACACACGCACATTCTCTCTATCGATATATGTTTTTGGCTACTAGTAAACAACATAACAAGCCAAGTGCCTATCAACAAGTGCCTCTGACACCTAGTAACAAACACAAACACAAAGGAATAACAGGGAAAGCACTACAGTGGATCTAGGCATACCCGACGGAAAGGAAAAAACGAGTGAAGAAGTGTCGGATTGGGTGGATCTGACGAGTGAGGTTCCACTGGGATCATTACTAGGACTGCTGCTACTGCTTGCATATGTGACGGATGAGTTAGTCAGAAAGATATCTGTTCGCAGTATTGTGAATCTAATGAGGAAAATACAAGCAGACGTGAACCAGGAAAGGCTACAAATGAATCTGGACAGGCAACAGGTCTGGTCCGACAAGGGGCCCTACTGCAATTTAACCCTGGTAAGAGCAAAGTTATGAAGTTTGGGGAACGGCAAGGATGACCGTAGACGGAGTACAGGCTCGGGAGGTAAAAGCTGCAAACCTCACTCAAAGAGGTGAGGTGAGGCACTTCAACCAAATAACTGCTGCAGCTAACGCAAATCTAAGACCTGCTGTAAGACATCTAAGTAAGGAGTATTTCACGACACTATAAACCATGTACGTCAGGCCATAATGGAGCATATACAGAACCAGTATGGAAACGGACAGGTGCCTCTCATACTAGAGAGAAGCTGTGGCTGGTGTCACCCACCCCTACCCGACTCAGAAAACTTCTTATTTCTCCTGTTGCAACATTGCATAGATACCGATGACGCACTGAGAACTGTGAGCTGAAGATTTTCATCCCCTGTATATTAATGAGAGAGAGAGCGATTACTCACCGGATAGTTCCTTGCACCATGCTGTGTCCAAACCTGAAGGCTGCTGCGGAGAATTCATTGTTCATGTTAGGATTGATGCTGGGGTTGTAGTCGTTGCTGAAGCCTGATCTAAGTGTACTTAGACCGTAGGTTCTCATAAAGTCCTTTCCCGAAAGTAAGACGAATAATTCATACTTATTTCTTCTCGCGGCTTGTTTGTGGTACACTGATAACATGAAACTGTCACAAAATACTCTGTGTATGAATGGCTCACCGTGTGGACATCGGTCGGTTAGCTTAATTATTCTGAACAAAATTAAGCAGGTAGACCAACACTACTCACCTATGATGATGGGGAGCCACTCGTTGAAAAAAAATGTGTTGTTCCTGGGCAACGATGATCCTGCGGGCCTCCTGGAAGACAGCTTCGTCCGACCACTGGGGGTTCAGTTTCTGAAGTTCTTCTGCTACACGGTTGTGTTGTCTCAACCACAGGGTGTGAATGGCGGTCAAGCCAGGCTGCTCGTTCACTCGTGAGTCACCTATAAATGGTGCAATGCTATTGTTTGGAATTTTATAATAAAGTATTGGTGATTAATTTCTTGTCCTATAATCTAGGCGATTAAAATGATACTCAGTTTTGTGTATATGAGTGCAATCTGTTGATACAGTGCTGGTGCATCACTGTACAATGTACTAAGTTAATTTAATCGGAATAAGATTTTAAACTAAATTGTACGTCAACAGAAACACAGGTATGAAAACAGAGTTGTTTATGAGGTATTCCTAAAATTGATTTGAGTCCTTTTATTGACTGACTGGGTAAATAAATGCACTAGGAAGTAAAGCGTAAACAGTACCCACAATTTTTCATTAGTATTCTTTTTCTTTCGAAAATCAAATTAACATTTAGAACTTCATTTTCCTTGAGATGAGCACTGACTTCTGATTTTTTTACGAAGATGTTATGAATAAACTGCGACATACAGACATCTCAAAATAGAGTAATGGTGTTAATATCCTATGTATCCCATTATCATATTTTCTTCTTGTATCTTATATGTATGCCAGGTCACTAATTTTTTATGTTTTTGTAGTAAAATGTTGGAAAGACAGTGATGTGAATAACAGCAATAGGGAGGCGGGATACAGTATAATAATAATCACATTAATATTACAGTGTTATGAAGAAACAGTCTTCCGGAGTGGTTGAAAGGTTGTGTTGATAACTGCTGGAAAGAGTACAGAAATCTTTCCACTGATTCTGCATTTCACAATTAAAACGAAATTATTTATTCTCAAGGAGGAGAACAAGTGACGAACCTGCCATGAAACACAGAGCTCCACGTATCCGAGCCGCGCAATTTCTGCTCTGGTCGCTATTAATGGGTAGAAGGTTGTTACCAGAGGTTTTCATGAGTCCGTTCCTTAATGCTCTTAAGTTGTGCATCTGGTCAGCAGTGGAGCCGTAAATGACAGACCCGTCTATCCAGTGTGTTATTTGGTTCAGCTGTGTCAAATACAAATATTGGATTAGTGTCAACATTGTGCATAAATGTTCATAAAAAAGTGAATTTCACTACCTTACGTTCTTTTGTATTATTATAGGTTAATTTTACGTTATTTACCACCAATAATAAAACTAGTATATTTATTGCAATTATTGTACACCTTTATAATATGTAGAAATGAAGTAATAGGATAATATTAACCATTTATGATATTTTTTGATTCCATATTATATATAATATATATATATATATATATATATATATATATATATATATATATATATATATATATAATATAATATATTTATATATATATATATAATATAGGATGGGGTCCCCCCTCTGGTGTAAATAGTGGAACCCACAGCCTCGGAGAAGTGGATAAAAAGGCTTCAAGGAAGAATATTTGGATTTCTTCCTGAAGCCGTTTGAATATTCCACTTCCCCTACCACCCCATCTTTTAATATTTTTTTTTACCAATAGGAATATTTTATTACATAATATGGTACAGAAGATTTAAGAGATACATTGTTGATATAAAGGTGGCATATAAGGTACATGTTGTTACGTGTGTATCACCGATTATAAGGCGAAAATCTCATCCAGTTCCTCAGAGCTGGGGCGTGTGCCCAAAATACAGCAGGCATTACCCCTTTGAACAGCCGCACTGAGCCGCTGGAACAGAAAACTAGCTGCCCTGGGATCCCTAGTTACCCTGATCAGTCTTTTTCCCAGCTCCTTAAGGAATTTAGATGCACTCTTTCCCATGAGCCAAGAGTCTCTGAGCCTATGGGAACAAACATATAGTGATGGGCAAGTTCTCCATATTTTCTAGACTTTTGGGACTCCCTGAAGCTGGCAGCTGCCCCTCCTTCCTCCCTGGTCTATTGGAGATATGTATCAGCCAAGGTAGATGCACATGTATAGTCCCACACCACTTGCTTCCCGTCTGTCCAGGCTTGAAGGGTGATACCATCTGGACGCTTCTGGCTGCCATCAGATCTGCATAGTTGGGGTGGCTCCCTTACTGCTGGGCATCCAGCTGTTGTGAGGCTCCTCTTGATAATGTTATTAACCTCCTCATGTTTTGCAGTCTTTTCCTCGGATTTACGGTACACAAGACCATGGTACCCGAATCGGTCTGCTGCTTCACTCCCACAAATGCACCTGTGTTCGGCGAGAATAGGGGGCGGCAAGTCGAAGGGCAAAAACCGATGCGGATGGTCTGTGGGTCGAGGCGTGTGCCAAGGCTGGAGTTGGGAACAGCCAACAGAAAGTCCCCAGCATGAGGGGCTCTCACTTCCAGGAGGCGGGCTCTATCCTTCCCTGACACACTCTGAAGCATTGTTGAGGCTATATTTTCCACTATTGGACCATCCCAGTGCGATTGTTTGTAGTTGTTTGGGGGGAGCAGGTCTGGTTTCAGAGCCCGTTAGATTATCCCAGATCATTGCTCCGTCAATGAATTTTTGGTCCTGGACTCCAATCTTGTCCCTAAGATGTTCAGGGAGAATCGCTGCTGCAAGCTCTCTGGATGCAATACACGAGGACAGAAAAGCAGGTAACGCAATCTGTGATGACTTGCGGACACCAATGCCTCCTAGTCTGACTGGAAGTGTAGCTTGGTTCCACTGCCCGTTTCTAGAGTAAGGTTTAAGTACTTTCGTAAAAATCTGCCTCAGAATACTGTCATATTCGTGCAGTATAGGGTTATCATATGAAGGTGCACATCTTAGGAAATATGTCAACCTGGGCAGACTCAAGCACTTTGTGAGAAAGTACAAGGCATCGTGGGTGTCCAGATTGCCTATTCGTTGTTCCATTCTCCTTAACTCTTCCAATTTCTTCCTGAGAATTGTGTCAATGGCATTGCTTCCCAGAGGTGCTCCTAGCAAGACACTATTTGTGGGGGCAATGACTGCTGCTCTGGTAGTTTTTGATCTCACTGCATTTATCACTCACTGACTGACTGAGATGATTTCACATTTGGATGGATTCAGGATGAGACCCATTTCCTCTCCCCGTGTCATTACCTGTGTAAGGTCATGTAGGAGGGACTCCTTTGTACCTGCTAGTGTGCCATCATCTAGGAACCAGATGTTTAGCTCGCTGGTCAGTCTGACTGTGATTTCCCTAACTGCTATACAGAAGAGAAATGGTGCAAGAGGATCTCCTTGTTGGACACCCTCCGATGATGTGATTTCATGCTCTCCAAAGAGAAGCAGTGATTCCATGCTATACCCAGCTGAAACAAAAGGGAAGAGACCAGGGAAATGTTCTTGTACTGCTGCTAATACCACGTCTCTTTTCAGGAGATTGAACGCATTCTTGAAATCTAATTTTACCACTGCATTGTCCTCAGGCAGGTTGTTGATATACGCCCTTGTTGCATGAACCACTGCTTCACTTCCTTGAGAGACCCCAAACCCAAGCTGGTTTGGTTGAAGCATCATGGCTGCCTGTGCACGAATACATCGGACAGCAGCTTTGGATACGAGGCGGCGTAACATGTTGCCTACTGCAATTGGCCGAATTCCTCCATCCTTCTTTTTAAGTGCACAAAGTGTTGCACCAAAAAAGAAAGGTCTAATTTCATCAGGAATCAGACCAGCCAAGGAATTGTTGACGAACCTTGTGATCTCTGAAAGCAGTGTCTCTGCAATTTCCCCAATAACTGGATTAACCATTTCCTTTAAATGCTGTGGCCTTATTCCAGTGTAACCCCCAGCAGAGCCAGATGGGAACGACATTATTGCTTTGTAAATGTCTGAGTCTTCCACAATCAATGGTTCCATAGTGGGGACAGAGGTGTTGGAACTGTTGGTGCCACTGGTTTCCCTGGCAGGGTGCTTTCCTCTAAGTGCTTCAGCCGTGTCAGTGTCCCTGGGAGCAACTGTATCTTCACTGGTAATAATTCTGATTGCCCATACTGTGTTGCCCTCTTCAATTTTCTTGCTCACCTGGACTCTGACTTTTTCACTGTCAGTAGAGTGAGTGGGGGTTCTGCCTCTCTCTTTTTTGTGTTGATGGGGAGAGGTGTGCACCCTCTTTTGACAACCCAACACTCGACGAATATGACGCACACCTGAGATTAACCTTTAATAAGGCTCTGAACCTGTCACTAGAGGACCGGCAATGGGATCAGGCAACTCTCCCAGTGCGACTGGGAGGTATAGGGGTGCGCAAAGCAACGCTTTTGTCTTCGTGTTTGGCTTCCAGTGCATTAGTCTAGAAGATCGTCCCCGAACGCTTGAGAGACGTGGTAGGAGCTCAAGACCCCAGATTTACTGAAGCAGCGATGCGGTGGGACACCTTTGCAGACTCCTCCAGTAGACCAGCTCCTCCCAAAGAGCACAAACGGTCCCACTGGGACAAACTGATCATCGAAAAAATCGCCAATACAATGCTCACCAACGCTTCAGGCAAGGACATAGCTCGTCTCCTGGCGGTGAAGACGCAACACTCAGATTTCCTTCTAGCTATTCCCAATTCCTCCCTGGGCACTCGACTCAACCCACAGGCCCTTTGGATTGGTATTGCTCTTCGCCTAGCCGCACCATCCTCACCGAACATTGGTGTATTTGCGGCAGGGCGACGGCTGATCAATTCGGACTTCATGGTCTCGTGTGTCACACAGCAGAAGGGAAGTATGCCAGACATGAGGAGGTCAATGACATCATAAAGAGAAGCCTCACCACAGCCCGTTGCCCAGCTCATCGGGAACTCCTAGTGCAGAGGTCTGACGGAAGTCAAAAGAGTCCTGATGGAGCCACTATGCTACCCTGGAAGGATGGCAAGCAGATTGCCTGGAACTACACCTGTGCCGCCACATTGGCAAACACCTACTTGCCATACTCCGTAGCTGAAGGGGGTGGAGCTGCCAGCCACAGGGAGACCCGAAGACCCGCAAATATGCTACAACTTCATCCCAATAGGGTCGGAGACCCTTGGAACATGGGGCAAGTGTGCTCTAAAGTTCCTCAAAGAGCTGGGTGATACTCATCATAGAAACCAAGGACCACAGGGCGACCAACTTCCTCTTTCTGGCTCAGTGTCGCGATCCAGAGAGGAAATGCCTGCAGCATTCTGGGCACGCGGCCCACTGCCAGGGAGCTGGACGAAGTATTCGAGATGTAGCTCTGAGTTATCTATGTTGTTTTACTTCATATTGTATTTTTGTCAAAGTATTTTGTCAATGTATCTTGTTTTTAAATAAAGCATATATAGAATACATAGGGGTGGTAGGAGAAAATTTTCAAACAGCTTCAGGGAGAACCTTGAGTTTTCCCTGAAGCAAGTTTATTCTTTTCTCTGAGGATAAGGGTCCCCAGGACAGTTCTAGAGGTGGTACCTCCATATATATATATATATATATATATATATATATATATATATATATATATATATAATATATATATATATATATATATATATATATATATATATATTAGTCTGCACACAAACAAAACTTAATAGGTACTATCCTGGCCCTAAGATGCATCAGAAGACGTAAACTAAAATTCATTTAACGTAAATTTTCGGGAATAAAAATTTCACACATTTTTTTTAGCAGCTACACATCTGAATTTTACTTTCAGTCGCACCTTCTTTTTTTTTTTTTTTTTTTTTTTTTTAACATTTGAATTTCCGCGACTTAAGTGTTTTGTAAGTTTTCCGAGCTATTCCAAGATGTTGGGAATGAGTTCAGCAACTTTGGCCATAAGGCTCCTGCTCATGCCTGTTATTCCAAAAATCTGATTATAACATGATAATAACAATATTATACTAATAATAATTTAGGAGCGACCTTTGGGCATATAATACATGCTGTAGAGTGGGTCATAAAGCATTCCTGTACCAAACAGTATGTAATATTTCAGTCAAATTAAGCCTCTGGTCTTGATAAATACATTAAATGGAGTCCAATAAACAAAATATAAATTTTTATATCTTATAATTTCTACTTAATAGAAAGTATGTAATCCACATGTGACTTTCAGGTGTATTCATAAATGGGATACAGAGAAGGGACGAATTTGTAATAGATTATGAAATTCTACATATAAATAGTCGTTGACGACATCAGTTAAGTTCGCGTTGAAACGTCACAAAATAAGAATTCCAGATATGACACAAAATACATTGAATGTAAATACTGTATGAGTGACACTACCAACCTGCTCGGCATAACCAAAGACACATTCTGATCCAGCGCCCACGGCGACCATACTCCTGACAAAGTTCATGCAGGTTCTGCCTTGGGGACCATAGAAGGCGTCACCAGTAAGATCAATGGGCATACATCTAGGATGACGCAGGGCCGCGGGTGCCAGTGTTCCGTTAGGGCAGCATTGAATTCCTTCTCCATTATCTGAGAGTATATAGCAGAATAATCAATTTCAGTATAAATAAAATAAATATTGAAAGATTCTCATATGTAAATATGCAAATAATTTGTTTTAATGTTTTATATAATGGAAGATATGCTTAACTTTCCCGAATTCTGTGGAAAGTCTCACTAAGCATTATGGACAAGATCACCTGTAAATATTTGGAAAATTCGTCTTACCCATAGTAGGGAAAGGAACATGAGCAAGTTCGTGGTCAATAAACTGTGCCCACACCATGAGGGACGAGGTGTGGATCTCGTCTGGCTTGTTCACGTCTAATAAAACATTACTGCTTATGTGACGCACACCGGGAAGAGGAGAACCATCAGCTGCTGTGGCTCTTGGCTCAAACACTCCTGTTGAGAAATATCTTTACAATTCACTGACTGGGAACTGTTAAGAGTACACATCAATCATTCTTAAGAGTTTTTTTAATTATACTACCCAGACTAAGGGTCGACAACCCAAATGAATTCTTTATGAACGAAGCCCAAAATTTGGACATCCCAAAAATCTCGGATATTATCCTAACTCCACAAGGCTTTGACGAGGCAATAAATGACATGCCCATGTACTCTGCCCCAGGCCCAGACTCATGGAACTCCGTGTTCATCAAGAACTGCAAGAAGCCCCTATCACGTGCCTTCAGCATTTTATGGAGAGGGAGCATGGATACAGGAGTCAACCCACACACACTAAAAACAACAGTCATAGCCCCACTCCATAAAGTTGCAGTAAAGCAATTGCAAAGAACTACAGACCGATAGCATTAACATCCCATATCATAAAAATCTTTGAGAGGGTTCTGAGAAGCAAGATCACCAACCACCTAGATACCCATCAGTTACACAACCCAGGGCAACACGGGTTTAGAGCAGGTCGCTCCTGCCTGTCTCAGCTACCGGACCACTATGACAAGGTCCTGGATGCTGTGGAGGATAGAGAAAATACAGATGTAGTATACACAGACTTTGCAAAAACTTTCGACAAGTGTAACCATGGTGTAATAGCACACAAAATGCGAGATAAAGGAATAACAGGAAAAGTTGGTAGATGGATCTATAACTTCCTGACAAATAGAACACAAAGAGTAATAGTAAAACAGAGTAAAGTCCCAGACAGCCATGGTGAAACGCTCTGTTCCACAGGACACAGTACTCGCTCCCATTCTACTCCTCATCCTCATTTCTGACAGAGATGTAAGTCATAACTCCGTGTCTTCCTTTGCGGATGACCCCCGGATTACCATGGTAGTGACTCCATCGAAGACACCGCGAGTCTCAAGCGGACATCAACCAAATCTTCGAATGGGCCACCCAAAACAATATGAAGTTCAACGAGGATAAATTTCAACTACTCAGATATGGGAAACTTGAGGAAATTAAAAATGTATCAGGGTACAAGACAAATTCTAACCATACAATAGAGCGGAAAAGTAATGTGAAGGACCTGGGAGTGATAATGTCAGAGGACCTCGCCTTCAAGGCCCACAACAATGTATTTACCTCGTCTGTTAGGAAAATGGCAGGATGGATAATGAGAACCTTCAGAACTAGGGACGCCAAGCCCATGATGATTCTCTTCAAATCGCTTGTGCTCTTTAGGCTGGAATACTGTTGTACACTAACAGCCCCCTTCAAGGCTGGCGACATTGCAGACCTGGAGAGTGTACAAAGAACTTTCACGGCACATATAAGCACGATAAGGCACCTAAATTACCGGGAACGGTTGAAGGTCTTTGACCTGTATTCCCTCGAACGCAGGCGAGAGAGATACATGATAATATATACTTGGAAGGTCCTGGAGGGATTGGTACCAAACCTGCACACGAAAATCACTCCCTATGAAAGCAAAAGACTCGGCAGGAGATGCAACATTCTCTCGATGAAAAGCAGGGGCACAACGAGTACATTGAGAGACAACACAATATGTGTCCGGGGCCCAAGACTGTTCAACTGCCTCCCATCCTACATAAGGGGATTACCAACAGACCCCTGGCTGTCTTTAAGAAGGCCTGGACAGGCACCTAAAGTCAGTACCTGACCAACCGGGCTGTGGTTCGTACGCTAGCCTGCGTGCGGCCAGTAGTAACAGCCTGGTTGATCAGACCTGATTCACCGTCAGGCCTGGTCTCAGACCGAGCCGCGGGGCTCGGTCTGAGACCAGGTCCTCTCCAGGTAAACTCCAAGTAAATTTTAATATGCAAAACAACCATGGTGGAAAAAAAATAATGAAATTCCAAGCGAATTCGTGATTTCTCACATTATCAAAAAAAAAATAGTAAAATAATGTGAGCTCAGGCTTGACCCAACACGCTGAGCGTGGAAGCGTAGTGAAGAACTGGTCAGGTCACATGTCAAGTAAAATTTATGAGGGACATGTTAAGCATGATTTAAATTCCTCAAAAATTATATTTATTATAAATGGATTTAATCAAATAACCTGAACTGATATTCATATTGAAATCAACGATATTTTTCATAAAACTTGATTCGTTATATTTCGCTAAATCATAGAATCTGCTTAATACAATTGTTTTTGGCATTTTGAAAATCAACATTGCATGTAATGTTCTTTTTTCTTTTAATTTTATTGAGTTAACAGGTAAGCCAGCAGAAAGATTTGATCAAATGGCTAAAAGATCCATCAAGCGGTTCATCATATAACTACGACTACATCAGAAGAAATTTGCCTCTGTTCCTGACAAACGACCCCTCAAAGGGGTCGTTTCCAGCATCAAAGCCTTGATGCTGGAAACTGGTGTTGGTACCCTCAGTTTCTTTTCTTCAAACTTCATTACCACCTGCACCTTAGGGCTTAAAGTTTCCCCAATGAACAAACAATTCAGAAAAGAAAATTCTATCGTTTATATATAACCGAATATTATCAGCAACAAATAAGGACGATAACTGTACTGTGATACAATACTGACCATCTTCATAAGTTGGTGGTAAGATCCTCTGGTTGGGTGTGTTGCTCATGCCCCAGGATGGCTTAGCGAGGTTGTTGCAAGATCCATCAGCTGTGCGGTACTTGGAGTTGGTAGCGGTACAGGTGGGAACTTGTGGGCACAAACTTTCAAGACTTGTACCACTGACCGGCAAGTTGTGCAGACCGAATGATCCTTGTCTTGGTGATAAACTAAACCTGATAATGTAAACCAATGATAAACATTCATAAGTAGGTAGTAATTTATCTAATTGGTAAATATAATTAAATCAATTAGTCGGCACGACATATATATATATATATATATATATATATATATATATATATATATATATATATATATATATATAATATATATATATATATATATATATATTTATATATATATAATATTTATTTATATAATATTTTATATATCTCCATGGGGAAGTGGAACAGAATTCTTCCTCCGTAAGCCATGCGTGTTGTAAGAGGCGACTAAAATGCCAGGAGCAAGGGGTTAGTAACCTCTTCTCCTGTATATATTACTAAATGCAAAAGGAGAAACTTTCGTTTTTCCTTTTGGGCCACCCCGCCTCGGTGGGATACAGCCGGTGTGTTGAAAGAAAGAAAGAATTTATATATATTTATATATATATATATATATATATATTATATATATATATATATTATAATATATATATATAATATATATATATATATATATATATTATATATATATATATATATATAATAATATATATATATATATATATATATATATATATATATATATTATATAATATATATATATATATATATATAATGTCGTGTCGAATATGTAAAACTGGTTAATTAGCAAGCATTCATTTAAAATTAAGTCTTTCTAAAATTTTCTCTTATACGTTTAAAGATATATTTTTTTCATTTATGTTAAAATAAAAATTAATAATTTTGTACCAAAAGAACCTTAGAAAACTTACCTAACCTTATTATAACAAGCGCAGTTTAATTTGGCCTAATCAAACTAAATTTATTTTAGATAAGTTTACAATAATTTAATAATAAACAAACACAATGAAATATATTTTATATCGTTACGTCAGAATGATTTTTTTTTATTATTATAATCAAAAGAAGCGCTAAGCCACAAGGACTATACAGCAGGAAGAATGATTTTTAAGAAATTATTACATACACAAATCTTCTCTTGCCTTATTCGGCAATAAGAGTGTTGCTATTTAAGCCAAAATCGCAAGTTTTACCTACTCGGTACGACACATGTATGTCGTGGTGATTAAGCCGCATCGCGCAGTTTGGCCTTTAAAGCAAGGCCGTCTTTTGCCGAATTAGCAGAGGGAAAATTTATTTTCGGCATAACTCTGCTAAATTCAGTCTAAGCATAAGATAAGATTTCGTTCGGATTTTTAATCCCAGAGGGTTAGCCACCCAGGATAACACAAGAAAGTCAGTGTGTCATCGAGAACTGTCTCTCTTATTTCCATTGGGGTCCTCAATCTTGTCCCCCAGGATGCGGCCCACACCAATCAACTAACACCCAGGTACCTATTTGCTGCTAGGTGAACAGGACAACAGGTGTAAGGAAACGCGTCGAAATGTTTCCACCCTGTCGGGAATCGAACCCGGGTCCTTCGTGTGTGAAGCGAGAGCTTTTCCAGCCAGGCCACGGGGTCACCGCAAATATATTTTTAATAAATTGACCTATGATATATACAGCAGAATTTACCTAAAAAAACTGGGGTAGTTTATGGAAGGTTAGGGAACATTTTTATGTTAGTTTTTTCCAAGAACAAAAATCTTTCTATGATTGTCTATATAAAAAAATATCTATCATTCCGTAAGAAAATTTTTTTGGAAAATAATTTTTAAGGGCGTTCGGCCTACTCGGCAATTTCGGCTTATTAGGTACGACATACATGGGTTAGAAAAAATTATTCAGTTTCCATATTTCTACAAAAAAAAAAAAATGTTTACATTACTGAATGTTTACAGCGGTTTTTTCTACATACACATGTACTAGTTTGCTAGAAGCTGTGATAATAACCATGGCGTTGCGATCCATCTCCTTTGCTTCTTTGTTGATTGTGAAGACTAGAAGATGTTGACCAGCGGGTGAGTCCCCGGGCAGGATGACAGCGTTCCTGTGTTGGGTGGACAGGGAATACTGAGTGTATGGTTCCTGTGTTGGGTGGACAGGGAATACTGAGTGTATGGTTCCTGTGTTGGGTGGACAGGGAACACTGAGTGTATGGTTCCTGTGTTGGGTGGACAGGGAATACTGAGTGTATGGTTCCTGTGTTGGGTGGACAGGGAACACAGTGTATCGTTCCTGTGCTGGGTGAACAGGGACACCGAGTGTATGGTTCCTGTGATGGGTGGACAGGGAACACTGTGAGTGTATGGTTCTTGTATCGGGTGGACAGGGAACACTGAGTGTATGGTTCTTGTGTCGGGTGGACAGGGAACACTGAGTGTATGGTTCCTGTGTTGGGTGGACAGGGAACACTGAGTGTATGGTTCCTGTGTTGGGTGGACAGGGAACACTGAGTGTATGGTTCCTGTGTTGGGTGGACAGGGAACACTGAGTTGTATGGTTTCTGTGTTGGGTGGACAGGGAACACTGAGTGTATGGTTCTGTGTTGGGTGGACAGGGAATACTGAGTGTATGGTTCCTGTGTTGGGTGGACAGGGAACACTGAGTGTATGGTTCCTGTGTTGGGTGGACAGGGAACACTGAGTGTATGGTTCCTGTGTTGGGTGGACAGGGAACACTGAGTGTATGGTTCCTGTGTTGGGTGGACAGGGAACACTGAGTGTATGGTTCCTGTGTTGGGTGGACAGGGAACACTGAGTGTATGGTTCCTGTGTTGGGTGGACAGGAACACTGAGTGTATGGTTCCTGTGTTGGGTGGACAGGGAACACTGAGTGTATGGTTCCTGTGTTGGGTGGACAGGGAATACTGAGTGTATGGTTCCTGTGTTGGGTGGACAGGGAACACAGTGTATCGTTCCTGTGCTGGGTGAACAGGGACACTGAGTGTATGGTTCCTGTGATGGGTGGACAGGGAACACTGTGAGTGTATGGTTCTTGTATCGGGTGGACAGGGAACACTGAGTGTATGGTTCTTGTGTTGGGTGGACAGGGAACACTGAGTGTATGGTTCCTGTGTTGGGTGGACAGGGAACACTGAGTGTATGGTTCCTGTGTTGGGTGGACAGGGAACACAGTGTATCGTTCCTGTGCTGGGTGGACAGGGACACTGAGTGTATGGTTCCTGTGATGGGTGGACAGGGAACACTGTGAGTGTATGGTTCTTGTATCGGGTGGACAGGGAACACTGAGTGTGTGGTTCTTGTGTCGGGTGGACAGGGAACACTGAGTGTATGGTTCCTGTGTTGGGTGGACAGGGAACAGAGTGTATGGTTCCTGTGTTGGGTGGACAGGGAACACTGAGTGTATGGTTCCTGTGTTGGGTGGACAGGGAACACTGAGTGTATGGTTCTTGTGTCGGGTGGACAGGGAACACTGAGTGTATGTTTCCTGTGTTGGGTGGACAGGGAACATTGTGGGTGTATGATTCCTGTGTTGGGTGGACAGAGAACACTGTGAGTGTATGGTTTCCTGTGTCGGGTGGACAGGGAACACTGTGAGTGTATGGTTTCTGTCTTGGGTGGACAGGGAACATTGAGTGTATGGTTCCTGTGTTGGGTGGACAGGGAACACAGTGTATGGTTCCTGCGTAGGGTGGACAGGGAACACTGTGAGTGTATGATTCTTGGGAAGCACTAGCTTAGCTGTGTCGCCTTAACGACTGGTTTATTGTATACTTCTTACTGATCCTGTGAACGACAGAAAAATTATTTCAGAGGTGTCAGTGGGTATGTATCAGTTCCCACCGGACAGTTACATCACGAAAAAGCATTTTACAATCAATTAAACACAGTACAATTTCTACATATAGCTACTGAACACAATACATTATGAAGTTACAATATCAAAAACATTTGAGTATTATTACCATTAAAAACATCAGCCGTTATTGGGTTGAAGTCTCTTCAAAAACAATTCATTCATCTAGTCGACGCAAAATGTTTATACATTTTTAAGTTGTCAGATATCTTGGCATGAAAATATCCTGTAAGACTGCATGTTTGGATACTTAAGATAGTATGTCCTGGTATGTGTCCCTGTCTCTGTCCACACATTGTATTTGATGTCATCGGCATCTCTGTACAAACAGCACTGCCAGAGATACTTACAGCCTAGCCTGAGTCTAGCAGTAAAATCATCGTACAATCTGTTGACTTTGTTGCTTCCTCCATGGATATGCTTAACTTGACATATTTCATTGTGATGGACAATTGATCCGTTAGTTTCTATGTACGCTACTTTACTTTTTCTTCAAGCACATTTACTAGTTATTTTCTGACAAAATTTTAAACGTCTATTGAGAAATCAAAATTAAATTATATTCAACCTTCTCTTTATTTAATGTTTGTTTAGCTATATTGCACCTCCCGGAGGCTTGTTGGAAAGGAATCTACAAAAACTTATTATTAATAAGCTTGGTTTTAAAGTTATTTTACCACTGTCATCCAAATTATGTGAGACTAAAATCAACTCCCTCCATGACTCTGTCTATCAGTCTGTGTCAGTCTATGTCTGTCTGTCTGTCTGTCTCACTGCTGCAAGTTTCTTACTCGATAAGGTTCTCCTCCACCTGATTAAACAATGCTGAACGGTTGAGTCCAGCATTTAAAGACTGCGCCATCTTGCTGGAGTCCAGCGACGGTAGACTGGCACTGACACTTGCAGGAGAGAAAATTCCCCTGGTGGTGACACGTGTGGTTGTAGAACCTGTAAACACATTATCATAACTATCTGAAAAAACTGCAGTCATATTAACGTTAGTAATGAGAAGTTTAAAAAGCTTAACATAAGTAATTATATCATTCGATGGAAACATTTAATATATATATATATATATATATATATATATATATATATATATATTATATATATATATATATATATATATATATATTATATATATATATTATACACATGCATATATTGAAATTCCAAGCGCCTGTAGATTACTGCATCTCAGTTGTCCAATACTTACACATTAATTTAAATGTCACGCTAATTCAGTCAGTAGGATCTGTCTTGATTTTTTTTTTTAATTCAGTTTAAAGATTTCGTTGACCATGCTAGTTACTAACCTAACATCGATGTGACTTCACTTTCACTCTGCGAGTCTTCGTGGCTTCTCTACGCTGATATCATCACTCTTACTTGACTGAATTGGTTTTAAATTCACTTATATGGTATTCGAGTCTGGGAATAACTGGAAAAGTGGGCAGATAGATCTTCAACTTTCTGACCAATAGAAAACAAAGAGTGATGGTAAGCGGGGTTAAGTCGGAGGCCGCTGTCTCTCCGATATTGATGTAGACATTTAAAAGAAACGATGTTAAACCATTTAATATATTAAGGAGACTTTTTTAAATCCAAAAAATATCCCTGGATGATTAAACATCTCAATACATGCCATAATTCCGCTTTCTTTTCTTACATAGTTGCTTGTAGACAACTTGCTACTTGTCTCGTAAACACAGCCCACAAACGATCCTTTCGGAGATCATTGTTCCCTGACTGTTACTTCCAACAGAGGTGCCTTGATGCCAGTGACGGGCTCTTGATCCAAAGAATTGGACTAATATGATCGAATCGGATTGCTTTCCATTCTACCAGCGCTGCGTGACCCCTACGGATATAGCGCTACCCCATAAATGTAATACCATTAATAATAATAATAATAATAATAATAATAATATAATAATAATAATAATAATAATAATAATAATAATAAATGTCCGTGACTACTGTGTGCTAAACAGACACAAATTCAGCTAAAGTCGTTTTCTCCGACTGTAACTTGCTCAGCTATCAAAACTTTGGAGTCCAGTCCCTGGACCAATTATGTTACCTCTGTAATTCTTTTGACTACCGCCCACAGGATGGGTATGGGGTGCATAATAAACATATTAAACTAAACTCCGACTGGGTGGGATGCATGGTGGGTTAAGTGAATTGTATCACGACCTGCGCAGGTGGTGGAGAGGGAGGAATTTAATTTGGTGCGACGCGATGCTTCGCGTATTATTGAACATGAGGGACGTGCGCTGTGTAAAATTATGTACCTTAGAAAGGGCGGGTAGGGAGGTAGTCGTGGTGCGAGTTGAAGGAATGTATCCCATGTATGCGTGGGGTAATATATGGAGGCGAGTTCAACAGTTGCGTCTGCCTGCTCAAGTACGGGAAGTGGTTTTTAAATTTTTACATGGAATCTTGCCGTCCGGGGTGGTGTTGTATAATAGGCGTTTGGAGGAAGACTGGGGTTGTCCGGCGTGCGGGATGGAGGAATCTGCTTTTCACGTTGTGTATTTCTGTGAGACTTTAGGTATGGTACGAGAGTGGTTCAGTAGGGTTTTGCGTTTGGTAGGGGGGGGGGAGGTTTGTCGGTACTCCGGGCGTTGAGCTTTGATGTAGGTGGGGTTGACTTGCGTGTACAACGTGCGGTGTCGTACGTTGTGGCCGATTATATTTTCGTGTCATGGGCTATGAGGCACGTTGATGGTAACAGTAGAATTAGGGTTTTAGCGGGGACGATTTATAGGACAAAATGTCGAAATAGGTTGGTATATGAGGGGAGATGGGAGAGAGAGTGGGTAATCTAACGGGCTGGTCAGCTGTGTCTAATTGTGTTTGTCAAGTGCGTGAATGTTTTGTGTTCTCCGAGTTTATGGCTTCTCTTATGTAATGGTGATGATATATCTACGTGCTTTGTATATACAACTTTTGGGAAATTTGTTTCTCTTTTATTTATGCCTCAATACAAGTCATTGGTGACATTTTGTATATAGTGTGTTTCCCTAGCACAGTTAAAACGTTTTCTTTTTTCCCGTTTATACTTTATGCCGTGTCCGTGTGCTTTTCAATAGTATATGTATCTTTGCAAGTTTCGTTTTCTGTAAGCTGTGATGGAGCTTGAACTATATGGGGAAAGGCAGCATTTTTCAAGGGTGGCATCTCGTCAGTGTATAAGTTCACTTATAGCTGCTGGCATTTGTGTTTATTGAGATGTCAAATATCACAGTGTAGTTTCGTTTTGTTATATTAGATATTTTCATTGTTGTGAATTGTAGTGTCATCCTGTTTCACCTTTGAACTGTAATGCCTATCCTTAGTCAATGATAACCCCATGGTAGTCGCCCAAATTAACGAATTGTTGTGCTCTTTAAGGCACCTGAGTTCTTAGATTAAGTCTTGGATACGTTGTGTGTTGGCAGGCGGAATTATTATTATAATAAAAAAGAAGCGCTAAGCCACAAGGACTATACAGCGCTGCAGGGCAGGAAGGAAGCGAGGGCATCAGGTGGCAAAAGGGAGATGGATGAGTAATAGGTTACGGATAACAGCGGGGTAGTGGATGGTGAAAGGGTAAAGGGCAGCAAGAGACTGAACTAGAAAGGGCTGAGGGGAGTGCAAAAAGTATCATCAGAGTTTGTGGAGTAAATCAGTCGTTGTCAAGAAGTCAATGAGAGAGTCAGGATTAAAGGAGGGTCCATCAGCAAGAAGGGAAAGGTAAAGAGAGAGTAGTAGAACGAAGACGCCCGTTGGGGGTAAATTCTGCGTGCTCGCTGATAGAGAGGGCAGTCTAACAAAAATGTGGCTAATCGATACGGGGAACTTGACACTGCTCACAGAGAGGAACAGGGTGCCTCGCCATGAGACCCATGAGTAAGACGAGGGGTGGCCCAATGCGAAGGTGGAGAGAGGTGGCCCTCCCAACCTCGGCACTGATGACAAGAAGACGGCCCAAATAACCTATGCTTGGTTTAATAGAATGAAGTTTTTTTACCGAGCAGAGTTGACCAACGTTGTTTGCCAACGGGTGCGAAGGTGGGTAGCTATTGCAGCAAAATAGTCCAGAAATGGAACACCTCGATAGGAAATCGGTAGATCATGTACTGCTGACCGCGCAGCAGTGTCTGCCTGTTCATTGCCCTGTACGTCGACATGACCAGGGACCCCAAAAAAACAATATCTTTATGTTTGGTAGAGATACGGCGTAGCCAAAGTTGGATACGGAGAACTAGGGGATAAATTTGTATCAAATTTTCGTATAGCCTGTAGAGCACTAAGGGAGTCTGAGACTACTACAAATGATGAAAACAGGCATAGATGTGATACGAATAAGTGCTGCAAGAATGGCATACAGTTCAGCAGTAAAAATGCTAGCTGAAGATAGTAAATGCCCCCCGCACGATGCTGTCCGGAAACACTGCTGCGAATCCGACGCCGTCTGAAGACTTAGAGCCATCTGTGTACACAGCGGTGGCATAAAGAATGGGAGTGGAAGTGATCAAGAAAAAGAGGAGCGGGAAGCCACCGTAGGCAGTTGAGCTTCGAGCAAGGAGTGAGAAAGAACAGCCCCGAACAGCGGGAACTTCCCAGGGGGGTAGGGAAAAGTGAGATGCTACATGAACATATAAAGGTGGTAACTGAAGGGAAGACAAGAGTGAATGTAGGCAAAGAGAAAAGGGATGGAGCAAACAGGGGCGGCGAACGAATAAAGAATGTCTACTAATATCGGTGACCATTCTATAAATGGAAGGATTGTGTAGATCGTGAGAGCATACATAGTAGTGAAGGCAATGGGCATCACGGCGATCAGACAAGGATGGAACATTCGCTTCTGTATAGAGGCTCTCAACAGGGGAAGAGCGAAAAGCACCAAGGCACAAACGTAATCCTTGGTGATGGATAGGATAAAACGAGGGCTGAATGTAGGCGAAGCAGAGTTCGACGATCAGCTCCCCAGGAAAGATGAGCAAGGGTTTTAAGAAGGTTTAGCCGGCTGTGACAAGTTGCCTTCAGAGAGGTAATGTGAGGTTTCCAGGATAACCGACGGTCAAAGAGAAGGCCTAGAAACCTGACTGTAGAGATACAAAGGATGATCGGAGATAACAGAGCGTCTAGTGAAAGTAATTTGGTGAGTTTTGGTATTTGAAAATTTAAACCCATGCGTGGTGGCCCAAGTGGAAACACGGTCGACCGCATACTGGAGAGAAACTGCAATAAGGTGACAGTCAGCACCTGCACAAGCAATAGCGAAGTCATCAACATAGAGTGATGACCAAATATTGGGTGGAAGAACAGAGGCCAAATCATTTATAGCAAGAAGAAAAAGTGTTGTGCTTAGAACGCATCCCTGAGGGACACCTTCAGCTTGGACGAAGTCCGGGGAAAGAACATTATTGACTCGAACACGGAAATGTCTGTCAGTTAAAAATTTCCCTTAAAAGGAAGGATGGTAGATTGCCTCGGAGGCCAAAGGAATGGGCCTGGGCCCAAAAATATTATACCCCCAAAGTTGTGTCATATGCCTTCTCAAGGTCAAAAAATATGGCAATAACTGAGTGATTATTCGCAAAGGCATTACGAACATACGTACCAAGTGTAGTAAGGGGTCTATGGTAGAATGACCTTACGAAAGTCTATTGATTAGCGGAGAGATTTGTTGTGTGCCCTCTAAATACCACATTAAACGTCGATTTACGAGACGTTCCATCACTTTGCAAACTGCACTAGTAAGAGCGATGGGGCGATAGTGGGAGGCATCATGTCCTGTAGTACCCGGTTTGCGGAAAGGGAGAACAATGGCAGATTTCCACAGCGGGGAAAGAACTCCTTGTGCCCAAATAAGATTGAAGAGGTGTAAGAGACTACAAGGGCTGACCAATGTAAATGTTTTAACATACGAATATGAATGTCGTCAGGCCCAGCTGCCGATGATGGCAAGCGGGAGAGGTGGCCTCCAGTTCTTGAAGTTAAAAGGCACATTAAAACTGTTCTTCTCTGAGAGAAGAAAATCCAAGGGTACTAACTCTCTGGCAGACTTTGAGGAAAAAACGAGGGGCATAGATGGAGCCCTCGGAAATACGGAACCAGATGTGTGCAAGTTCAATGGCAACGTCGAGAGGGTTTGCTACATCAACACCAGCGACCGTAGAACGGGAGCCGGGTCAGGAGAGTATTTACCACTCAATTTCCTCACTTTTTTCCAGACTGAAACTCATAGAAGAAGCAGAGGTGATGGTGGAAACATAGTCTCGCCAACAAGTCCGTTTAGCTTCACGGAGACACGGCGAGCAATCGCACCTTCTGCTAAAATCAAGAAGTCTCTCAGCGGTTCTATTGTACTGGTACCTGCTCCATGCAGCACGTTTCAAAAAGTACTGCACGAGCACAAGCAGAAGACCCCCAAGGCAAGCACTCTGAGAATGCCTGCCTGAGGTTTTGGGGGATAGAATGAGAAGCTGCGGTATAAAAATGACGTCGAGAAGATGTGTAGGAGCTCATCAATGGAGATGAAGAAGGAACCTCACTAAAAGCAGTGAGGTGTAGTAAAGATCCCAATTTGCCGATCAAATTGCCAGCGAGGCTACGGAAAGGTGGTGAATATGGAAGGAGAAGTAAGAATGATCAGAAATGATCGCTGTCATGTAAGTCTGGTAGAACAGACAGGTGAAGTCTAGTGCAGTGGAGGAAGAGCAGACTGATAGATCGATGCACGAGAGAGTAAAGAGTTTCGAAGATCAAAATGGGTGGGGGTACCCCTATTTAAAACATGGAGGGGGTGAGAGGCGAGAAAAGCCTCCAACTGGATGCCACGTGAGTCACAAGAGACCCCCCCAGAGGAAATGGTCGGCATTAAAATCCCAAGTAACAGAAGGGGGGCGGTAAGGATGAAACAAGAAAGGCAAAGTCTGGATAGAAAATGCCCGAGAAGGAGAGAGATATAAAGAACATATTGTAAACCACTTATTCAAGTGGATACGGCTGCAGTGTAATGCAGCGAGGTATGGACAAATAGTTGACAGTACGGAATATCATTGCGTAGAAGAAGGGCACTTTCATTAAAGTCCCATCTGAGAAAGCATCCGAAGAATACAATAAATTATAGCCTGAGATAGGTTTTGGGAAAAAAGCTGAGTGTAATTTTGGTTCTTGTAAGCAAGCACCAACAGGGAAAAAACCCGGAAAGCAACATCTGAAGCTCACCCCGATTACCCCTGAGGGTGCGGATATTCCACTGTAAATAGGCCATGATTGGCGATGAAGAAAATACCAGGTATCTGTAGGTAAAGGCACCTACGGGCTAGAGGGGTTAGAAAAGTCAACGTGTGGTGGCATTGGAAGACGTTCAAGTAGCGAAGGAACGGAGCGTTGCGAAGATGGGCTTGAAGATGGAGGAGAGGGAAGAGAAGGAACAGGGAAATGAATCAGTGTCCATTGAAGGTTTAGTCTCTGCAATATATTCTGAAAGGCTTCAAGTGTTTCTGAATTCAAAGATGTATGGAGACCATATTGGAGATAGAAGGAGGAGGTGAGTAAAGATTGGACAGTAATGGACTGTACCAAAGTAGAGGGGGAGGGAAGAGTGTAAGGGACTGGAGATGAAGTGTGGGGGGGACAGAAGAGACAGAAACCTGGGAGGTGGGAGAAGAGGAGAAACTTGGGAGGGGGCGGGGTGGAAGGCATAGTACGAGGAGGAGGGTGAATCTCCACACTTGTAATAGAGCCAGAGAGAGGGGAAGAACTAGGTACAGAGACTGGAAAGGTAAAGTGTGGAGGGGGAAAAAGGGAAGGGAAGGGGCAAAGAAGATTTGAGCAATGTGGATTTTTTGGACTTCTGAGTAGAGGGGCGATTGGTATTAGGTGTCGTATGAGGTCTTGTCGATACTAGGGCTTGTGAGGAAGGGCGCGAAGATGTGAGAACAGACTGAGTTGTAGTCGGGACGTCAGAGCCAAGGACAGCAAAAGGATTAGATGCCTTAGTGGCTATGGGGGGGTAACAACAGAGGAGGCTGCAGAAGATGGGACCCCCAAATGGGGGATGTTTGGAAACACGAGAATAAGAAACACGGGTAGTCTCCCTTGGAGGCGGAGAGAGTAACTGCCTAGCATAAGGAGACCTTCTGCCTCTTTGAGGCAACGGATTTCACGTTTATTTAAGTAGACCCGGCAACGGCGGAGTACGAAGGGTGAGCTTCATTACAATTAAGGCAAGATGGAGGTTGACTGCAAGATGTATTAGAATGGTCGTCGGCACCACAGACTGGGCATTCGGCCATAGATCTGCAATATTTCGCTGGGTGACCAAAACGCCAGCAATTTCTACATTGTTGCGTGTAGGTATCACCTTTCGAACTTGTAACCGATGTCCCCTGACATATACAGAGGACGGGAGTTCTCGGCTGTCAAAAATTAAACAAGCCACATTGCAAGGGTAACGTCTCCGCCCCGGGCAGGAAGGACAAAGTGTCTACTTTGAGGATTGGGAGATCCTGGAGTTCCAGCTGTTCAAAAAGTCATTGCCACAATGACTGGAAATTCTGTTGGACTATGGTATGGGGCAGAATGACAAAACCACTACAAGAATTGAGAGAAAAATGTTTTTCAATAGTGATAGGAGTAGTATCAAAATTCAAAGGAGAGAAAGATCATGAGCTTGGGGAGCATTCTGGACAGTGACATGCACATACTGCTCTTGAGAGCATGAAATGAAATAATCTCTACCAACATGACACAGGAGCGCTTTGCCAATACTATGGTCAGGGAAAAGGGAGGCAGAAGAAGAAGTCCCGGGCATAAATAAAGAATTTTTGTCCATTGTGTGGTCCGAAACTGAGCGTGGAGAGGAGTGCTTGACGTGTCGGTCTTTTCCGAGTAGAATGGGAAGGTAACAAAGGAGCATCAATCAGGAGATTAACGTTGGCGTTTTTGGGTAGGACCGGAGTTGGTCCGGCGTGAAATGGGCGGGCGATTCGAAAATTGCCGTACCGTAGAGGGAGAAGCCGAAGCATAGTCAAAGGAGAGCGAGTTCAGACAAATCGAAGGAGTCAGTCGAAGCCCCCGGGACCCGAAGCGGGTGAGGAAACAGCACCAGCAAAGAGGTACAGGGGATCAGGAGTGTCCAAAGAGTGGTCCCAAACACAAGGCAGGGTCAGATGGGGTGCGGTATCAGAAGGGGCCCGGGGGTAGTGGGTTCATGGGGCTAGGGCTGCCATGGTTAGGTACTCCTTTGCTTTTTGTTTTTAAGAAAAAAAAAGAAAGAAAAGAAAATAAAAATAAAAAAAAAAAAAAAGGGGGGGAGGGGGAGGAATATTCCCAGGAGAATGAAAGGGCCGAAATCTCCTCCGCCCCCAAGAGGACCTCAACCCCCTGAGCGCGATCACAGGGAAACCCGTGCCAACCCTACCCTTCATGCCAGAAACCAGCAACCGGATAGCAACCCACATCTGCCGAGCTACCTCGGGACACTAGGAGGGGGGCCCGATATCCGCCACAAAGCTACCTCCTTGGGGCCACCACCCCGAATCCGAAAGGTGGCTTCCAAGATACCCCCTCGCCCGAAAAAACCCCCCAAACTACTGGATAAGGAGGGGGGATCGGACACCCCGGGGAAAATCCAGATTCCCGGCAAACACGCCCCGCCAAGAACCTCAAGAAGGGGGGCCCCCCGGTGCCCTTTTTCCCCCTACCTAGGAATGCGCGTGGGGGAGAAACCCAAAAGGGCCCAAAAAGAGAAAGGGCAAAGGGGGGGGGTGAGGAGGAGGAGGAGGAATAAAAAAAAGGGGAGGGGGAGGATGGGATAGGGGGGGGAGAATGGGGGTAATTAGGTTGGGTTGAGGAAAAACCGACAAGGCTAATTCCCAGACCAAAGCCCTTCCCACGCCAAGGACCCCCCTTGAAGAGGTGGCAGGCGGAGCCACCCTAGTTATATCCCAGATGAATTTTCACGTTGTATAAAACGTGATTTCTTTCGTAGTGTGAATTCGTTGCTTTTTTTGTCACATTGTTTATTTTTATAGTGTTTATATTTTCCTGTTTTTTGAATTTATTATTTATTATATAATAAAAATCTAGTTAGTGCCTGGTATCTCGTTGACATTATTTTATGCACACATATCTATTTTGTACCTGAGTTTTAATAAAATAAAAAAAAAATTCAGCTATGGGACTTAACTGGCAATGTCTTGCCCAAACAGTTGATTTGTAGTCACAGACAAAGCTGTTTGGGATTGATTAAGCTTGTGTGAGCGAAACGTTGTCAATAAAGGTTCCGTATAACTGCATTTTGTTTCTTTACTCTAAAACAGCCTAAAGACAAGTATCCAGCATTTTTTTTTTTTTTTGGAGGGAGAGGCGATCCATTGTATATTCCTCATGTGTCAAGTTTATGCGTAGTACGTCCTTAATGAGTTTAGCACTTGTTCAAATTAAATAAAAGCGAGCGCCAAGCATACATCAAGAAAATGTTTATACAATACTGTGTTTTATACTCGCTTAAAGGTTTGTTAACAAACAGCTACGGACTTACCAGCAGCGGCCTCAGACACAGGACAGCAGACACCAGCAACGCCATCATCCACCTCACAGCTCTGCTGGATCTGAATAAGAACACAAGATATAGGAGCAAAAAAAAAAAAAAATTGCACATTATATAATTGTACCAACAGTTTCATATGGTCATCACACATTTTTGCAAAGAAGTGAATTGAGATGGTGGAGGCATCGAATTTGAGATTTGTATGTTGTGTGAGTATTATGCAGAGAATTAGGATATAGAAATTGAATGACGATTAGTTACGAAAGATGTAACTGGGAGGGCTAGGTCGATGGAAGCTGCGGGAGACTGCCAAGTTGGTGGAAGTTCACCAGTTTTTTAACCCGAAAAAAAAACACCCAAAACTCAGCTGGTTTTGAGTCTTTCCATTATTTTCATCCTTTGAGAAGACGTTGTTGACATGTCGTCATTTAGCAAAAGGAGCAGAATAGGATGACAGAGTGTATACGAATCGAGGGTGGAAGGGAAAAAAGGTAATGGTAGTCCCCTAAAAAAGGGTTGGAAAGAGAGAGAGAGAGAGAGAGAGAGAGAGAGAGAGAGAGAGAGATGAGAGAGAGAGAGAGAGAGAGAGAGAGAGAGAGAGAGAGAGAGAGAGAGGGTGAAGAAGGTATTGCGATGTTTGTGCGCAAGTAATCTAAGGAACGAATGACGGTGAAGTGTTTCATTGTTAAAATACCTTTGTGTTTTTTATTTTTGTATTAAACTAATTTAATATTGCATGTTTTGTCTAATTCTTTTACACACATACACGCGCGCACCCGCGCATTCTTAAATTCTCTAGGTGAATCTCAATTAAAAAAAATATTTAAAAATGCTTACAATCATACATTAAAAATAGCTGTAATTTATTAGTTTTTATGAGAAAAATGCGTTTTTTAATTCAATATATTCTACCATAATATTGTATCACGAGAGATCCTGTTATGAATAGGAACGCAGTCTACAAGGAACCCGCAGTAATAGACACCACTTCCTGGCCTCCTGGCCTGCCTCCTACTTGCCTTTCAGGCCTACCAACTGGCCTTCCTCCTGACCTGCCTCGCAGACTGCCTGCATCAGCCATTAAGAACTAATATGGAAGTAGTCCTCCACACGTGTCAGTCATAGTGTAACAGGAGCGAAGGCCACCAGGTCACTGGTTACAACCACCACCTCCCTAACCACAATCAGTACACGTGGTTACTACCACCACCTCCCTAACCACCACCAGGTACACGTGATTACTACCACCACCTCCCTAACCATCACCAGTTAACACGTGTTACTACCGCCACCTCCCTAACCACCACCTGGTACACCTGGTTACTAAAACCCCTCCCTAACCACCACCAGGTACACCTGGTTACTACCACAACCTCCCTAACCACCACCAGGTACACCTGGTTACTACCACCACTACCGTCTAGACTTTCTAAAATGCCTGCATCATTCATCAAAACAAGTGTTATTACCACGCTACAAGCTACCAGTCAGTGTGTGAGGAGACTACCTCGTCAAGATGAGAAGCACAGTCCACAAGCAACACGACAGCTACAGTCACCTTCCTGCTGACCTTGTCTCGCCCCTGGCCATGGCCTTTCTCCTGATAGAGAAAAACCGGAATGAGTGTTCCACACTGCTACATGCACATCTTATATAATCGTGGTAGTAACAGAAGTGACCAAAGTTTTAATGAAGTACATACAATGATGCAACATTATATGCACACATGATGGAAAAAAAAAGAGAAATTTGGAGAAATAACTGCGTTTTTAATTTCCACGAGTGTAATGAACCCACACTGTGAGGTGATGCCAGAGGCAACACATTGTAAGCTTCGGTGTTCTCACTTCCATAAAATTTTCAAGGTCTTTTCGTTGATACTCTAGAACGTCCTCTCTCATCCGCTTTCAAATTCTGCATCCTTAGTCAAGTATTCCTTGGTGAAGGTTGATGGAGTAATTGACAAGTACGAGTACCCACACACACATGCACATGCTACATGTTTGCCTGTGAGATTACAGATGGGTACACGTGTGTGAATGTGTGTCCACATACACACGTATACATCTCTAAAAGTGTGCATACTAATACACATAAGAATGACTACATGCATACGTACACGTATTAAAAAAAATGTAAATTTGTACATGAATATATATCATATACATATTTATACACTTTCATACATATGCACAAGTGTACCTGCATACATACGCACATACATACACACATATATACATACATACATATGAACACATATATTTTTGTTTGCCTTATTAGAATTTTTTCAACCACTCTGCACTATTCCTTTTGCATGCATTGAGGTAGAGGGGTAGGGGAGCTGAGCTTATTGAATACAGGGATACCTTTCTCTGGTTGCGCAGCGAGCGAAATGTACCTTGCTATACACATGGGTCAATGGTAGCTCCAATTTTCTGGATCAAAATCCGTTCACCAGCCAAAAAAATGGTATTCTGCAAGAGACAGTCCCTACTCCCGGTGGCTGGAGTAACAAACTCCTCTTTGGGTTATTTCCGTGATAAAACATGGGTAAAATTCATCCTCAGATACAACCAACGGGATTAGAAATAGACAGTTTTAAGATAGCTATATTTTATGAAGCGTTAAAACCGTAGTGGGTCATCCAATACGAATGATGGAGGAGGTTCAGTCCGCCTCATAACAAGTTTCAAACACGACGTAAAGTTGTATTAACATAACTGAAACATCATAGACTAGGACATTTCAGCCTGGGTTTGTACAAGGCTGTTTCAACCTGGCTTTGCGCTATTACGTTTGAGCACAACCTTAAGCACATATAAACATTTTCTGAACTTACCTGTCTTCTACTGCCAAATATTGGTCGCAACATATGCTCAAGGTCAGGGTCAAGGGTAGACTTTGGGCTATACTTTAGCATAAATAAGAGGGTTGTGGAAAATACTGTATATTTTCCGGAAATACGGTAATTTATATGTAAATAGATGGCCATACTGTATTTAATAATGTTTATGTCATAGAAAACAGAAAGCCTGTCTGCGCAGAAGGGAGTCGCCATTTTGGTTTGAATGAGCCAAGTAAACGTTAGTGTAAATGGGAAGAAATTTTTTCGTGCTCTAGAGGTTAAAATTGGGCTGACACACTCTCAATAGGAGGCGATTGTTGGATGTGCAGTCCTGCATAACTTGAGATATCAGGCGACTGGACAAGACAGCTCCAGGAACCACAGATAAGTCTGTTATGTATAACTCTGGCCAGTTGTTATTTTCATGTTAGACAGTGAGGTTTTCTGAGTATGATACAACTTAATCTCCAGTCAAATTGGTGAGTGTTATGATTAAGATATATCTCTTCTGTTATATAAATTGTGTGTATATATATAATCCTTTTTTTTAATTTTAATATACAGTCCACAAATTTATATATATTTACCAGTATTCCTGGAGATGTATAATTCATTTAATTAATAGGTTCCAGAGCAACTTGTGGATATGACAGTGGTAGGTATCGAAGGGGGACATTTTTTGCGACCTAGGTGTCCCAAATTCCTACTTGTCTAACTGATAAATAATAATCTATGTTCATTTACTGTTATGTTATTAATGATACATTTCAGATAAATGCAATTTTCCCCATTTAATTTGCCCGTTGGTCCTTCGAAACCGGATGTAATTAGTGAAGTCATTAATTAGTTAATTACTTAATAATTGTATGTGAATATACAGGAGGTGGATCTTAAGTTCACAAATTTACTTAATGTGTAGTGGATTATAATTATTACAATATTAATTTGGATAAATCAAGTGTGGCTAAAGATTATATTAATGTGTATAAGTGTATGTGTAATTGATAAGCCAAGTGTAGCTAATTATATTAATGTGTATATTAATTTTGCAAAGCCAAAGTGGCTAGGATTTATATTAATGTATTTGTATAATATTAATTTGATAAGATAATACTGGCCAAGATTTATATCAGTGTATGTGTAATTGATAAGCCAAGTGTAACTAATATTAATGTGTATAATATATTAATTTTGCTATGCCAAATTCTGGCAAGGATTTATTAATTTGTATAATATTAATTTTGATAAGCCAAGTCTGGCTAAAGGTTTGTTTGTATTAATGTACATTTAAAATTTATATAATTTTCTTGCACATGTAATTGCTGAGCTCAAGTAGCTGGGATTTATTCAAAGGTAAGTTGTACTATTTACCTTTATAAAGTGCATAAATTAGTACATAATAAGTGATACTAAGTTGAATTTAATACATTGCATCATGGCTGAAAATGAGGAAATTAATATAGAAGACAAACATATGGAATATAGAGCAAAGAAAGCGTCATTGCAAGCTAGAAAGGGTCATGTAACCAAGGCATATAATAAATGTTTGGAATTAATGAATCAAGAAACTGTGAATACTGATGATTTAAAATTGTATTTAGATGCTTTAGGTAATAGATATGATTCATACAAATTATATTACAACAAATATGAAGGAGATTTATAGTAAACTGTGTAGATGAGACTGAAGTAGATCTTATGATTAATCAGTATTATGAATTAGAGGAAAAGATTCTTTCTTGTAAAAGCCAGGCCTTGAATAAATTAAAACGTGTAAACCAGGCAGTTAATCAGTCTGCTCCAACAAATAATTTGTCTTTGCCAAACACTCCTCCCAGAACTATGTTTACCTGTATTTAATCCTGGTGAAAATGGGAGGAATTTTGGTCAATTTTTAAAGCAGCTGTGCATGACAGGAGTGACCTATCCTGTGTAACTAAATTATTTTACCTCAAAGGACAGGTAAGAGGAGATGCTTACATACTCATACAGCCTTTCCCAATGTAGATGATTCTTCCAAGAAGAGTTGACTTGTTGAAGGCACTTATGGTTAATATAGAACAAAGTAGGTTGGATCTAGTGAATATCATTTTTAATTAAAAACTCCAATCACACTTACAAAAGGTTTTTACATTTGAGTTTTAAAATGGAGAGCACTCTCAAAACTTTAA